GAAACTCTGGGAATTGTAACTCAGTGGTGGAAAGAGAGGACTGTTCATCTGTTGTCAGGAATGGAAATTAGTCCAGTATTCATTTTCATTGTGGGGTTGTTGTTGCTTTTGAGTCTCCAAACAACATGTAATTAATTACCCACCCCCATTGCTTTGAAGTTTCCTTTACACTGAAATGAATTTAGACTACATACATTGCACAAGTAGTTATGCAACTCATGCTAAATAGCAGAGAGCAAGATGAATAACATAGTATTTGATGGAAAGCGAACTGCAGCAGAACAGAAACAGGGGCGATTGTGGCAAATACAAGTTAGAATGGAAATTGCTGCCCTCTTACATCCTTCATTGTCACTGAGCACTCTGTAACCTCATTTTGCTTAAGTTCTTTTCAGGCTGGTGCTCACCCAACTTAAAGAAAACACTTTAAGCAGAATGAATGAATGACTCAACCAATTTGAGCAGAAGTCATATTGCATCATCAATAAATTGAAACATCATAGTTCAAGACTCCATTCATTCTCCGGTGCATTAGTCCTCCTATTTAGGAGAAGTCTTGAAATGTAAGAGCTTTTGCCATCAAACTCTTTTTTTTCTTCACTTGATTCATCTTTTGTCTCCTCTGTGCCAATTATTTCTAACCAAGAACTGACAACCTCTTGTCATTCATTGTTCCTTCCCTCCCACATCTGCTCTCAGCATTGACAAAATGTTGAGGGGTTTTTTTCAGACCCGCATTGATAATTTGACTGACAATAGTTTATAATCTTGTAATAATCTCACTGCAGGATCTGTCAAATGAATGATCCTAGTTGAGAGCAGGGGGGAGGGATTGAAATTTAATTATAAGATACATGTTTGATATTAGGAAAGGATAAAAGTGATTCTTAGTTTTTATTTGCAGAAGAAGAAGGTGCCTTAATTTCCTCCTTTCTGCTGCTGAGTGAAACTGAAAAAAATGTGAAAGGAGAGAACTATGGTCTTTACATCCAATGTTCTAGCCCAGTGGTTCCCAATGGTTTACTTGAAAATTGCTGAGAGTCTTGGTGGTAGGGTTGCCATTTTTGAAGAGCAAGAAAGAAGACGCTATGATGGCCATTCAAAGCAAAAAAATGCAACATGTCTCAAAATTTCCCCTGATAAAGAGGACGTGTCCTGGGGGAAAAAAGATGACACATGGCAACCCTACTTGGTGGACTACTTAATGATTTTTCTGCCTGTTGTAGCAACTGTAAGTCCATAGAACTCAAATTTTAATACAAGAAACACAAGAAATAAATGCAATTAAAATGTGATTAAAAATCAATATGAATATTCAGTGTGATGGAAGTGCTGTTTCTCATCTTCATGCCATGGATCACCTGAATTAAATCCATGGACCACTGGTGGAACCCACAGATTGTGAACCCCTAAGTCTATGTAAATGAAGAGAGCTGCCTTATCCTGAGGCTATTGGTACCTCTAGCTCAATATTGTCTTCTAGATGAGTGAGGGAAAGAATATGGTGTTCACATGTGGCTCCATAAAATGAAATATGTGTCGTTTTCTGTTGAGTGCACTTCTCTGAAGTTGTTTGGCTTTGTGGGTCCTTCCTGATAAAACTGTACTTTTTGACCGTCAACCACACAGAGTTCTCTTTAGCCCCTGACCCAGTGAAATTCTAGAGGCACAAACCACAACTGGGATAAAGCAAAGGGAACCACACAAGAATATAGTTAGGGATCGGGGTGTGTGCAAATATGGCTGCCTTCCTCTAGGTATGACCCTAGTGCCTGCATCATGGTTTGCTCTAACCCTAACATCCAATATATACATGATATACATGATCCGTATACATGGATAGTTTCATATCCAACACTGAATATTTTGGACTCCCATCAGTTCTGGCCAACAGGGGTCAGTGTCAGGGATGCTAGGATTTGTAGTCCACAACACCGGGAGTGCACCAAACAAAGGAAGTCACTAAGAAGTGTTAGAGAAAGTCAAAGTGCAGCAGCAGAAATAAGGAATCTGTGGCTCTCCAAATATTGTTGTACTGTAGTCCCCATCAGCCCCATCCAGGATGGCCAGTGGTCAGAGATGATGAGAGTCATGGTCCAGCAACATCTCGGCATCCATGGTTCCCCATACCTGGACTATGAAAAGGAGTTGCAGTTGTAGTGGGCAGAAAGTCTTGTTCAATAACATAAGTCACTTGGGGCTTCCACCATTGGGCTTATGCCTCCAATCAAGACAATAACGGAAAGTTACCTTGTGGTACCTTTTCCATGTCAATATGGAGAGATGAACTGTCTTGTCAAAATACCATATGGGAAATCTGAAGCATGAAAATGTAAAATTCTCCGCACCACTAGGTGGCATTATAGACAAGCAGCTTAAGAACACAGGAACTGGACTTACACTGAATTGTGTGGGATATTCAGTCCTATATAACCAACATACTTAACTCTAATTAATGCATGAAGGGGTTAAGACCAGTGGCGGATCTTGGGGTCTCAAATATTAGCAGTGTCCCGTTCAGTGCCCAAATTTGGTGCCCCCGCCTCTTGCCTTCAATTCTACATAATAGTTGTGGAACCCCCTCTGGTGCTCCTAAGTCTCCACACCCAGTGTGACTGAACTGGTCACGCTCCCCTAAATCCATCTGTTAGGACAATAGAGTATGTGGTCCTGTCAGGCTTAGCAAGGCCATATGTCCTCATCTTGGAAGAAAGGGTTACTCTCTCTTCCACCCTACCGATAAGGAGGTCTAAGCTGGATGCTCCAAGCTTAGACCATGTGGCTTAATCAGGCCATCTTTGTGTCTCTATACAAATAATTTAAAAACATTTACCACTTTTGGAACCTAAGTTATACTGCCTGTCTTTTCTAGCTGCTGTATGAGAAAGCACTTGAATCTAACCTTTGAAGTGTTTTAAGTAAACTATTTTTAACTTACCAAACGTGTGGCTTCTTTCTATGCTAAGAGAAGAGGGGAACTTTGGAAGCAACTTAGAAGGGGATATTTTGAAGGTCTTACTGCTCATATTTCCACACTTTACTTTGCTGCATATTTTGTGATTTTAAATCTCTGCTGGTGTTCTCTCACCAAAGAGTACTTGCTACAAACCTAGATCTTGGCATCCAGGAATTGTCCTTTTTATACCTAGTACAGTGGTACCTTGGTTCTCGAACTTAATCCATTCCGGGAGTCTGTTTGACTCCCAAAGCCATTCAAAAACCAAGGCATGGCTTCTGATTGGCTGCAGGAGCTTCCTGCACTCAAGTGAAAGCCACATCAGACGTTCAGCTTCCGAAAAACGTTTGCAAACCAGGACAAACTGTTTGACTTGTTCAACAACTATGCCATTCCAGAACCAAGGTATCACTGTATATATATACGTCTTTTAAACAAAATACAAAAAATTAACAAATTGCTCTCCATGGAAGTCTCTCCCCCAGTCCTTCCTGGAGATGTTGGGGATGACACCTCAAACCTTCTCCATGCAAAGCAATATTGATTGCATTGATATCTGACCTTTTACTGTTATTATTTTGTTTGGCCAACAGCTTAGACTGCTTTAAAAGAGAATTGGACAAATTCATGGAGGACAAATCTATCAATGGCTACTAGTTATGATGGCTGTGCTCTGCCTCTGAGGTCAAAGGCAGTAATGTTTCTCAATACCCGTTGCTGGATCTCTTAGGAGGGGAGACCACTCTTGTGCTCAGTTCCTGCTTCAGGGTGTTCTACAGATACCTTGTTAGCCACAAGATGCTGGACTAAATGGGTCATGGCCCTGATCCGGAAGGCTCTTCTTATGGCTGCTATGCATTGTACTGTTATTTATTATTCTGTGGTTTACTGCTAGCTTCTTTGAGCATCATTTGGGGGGAAGGTAGGGTACAAATGGAACAAAACCATTGACGGCTTAAGGCAACCTTCCCCAATCTGATGCCCTCCAGATGTTTTGGATGACAGCTCCCATCATCCCTGGCCATTAGTCATGCTGTGTGTGACTGACGGGCATCAGAGTCCAACAACATCTAGAGTACACAAGATTCTGGAAGTTTGGCCTAAGGCTACCATCACCAGGCTTCCACAACCCTTAGATGCACACTACTTACATTTGTACACATGTAGTCTCTCGCTCTCACACACATCTGGAATGGTAGTGTGAAATTGCAGCTGTTTATTAACTAAGGACACTGGTCTGTACACCAGCAAGTCCTGAAAGTCTGAAATAAATTCAGTGAAGCCGGAATATTATTTTTGCCCCCTTCCCTGAAATTTGGTCCACTCCTTCCTTTCTTGAGTTTCTCTGCCACACAGCACCTCTAGGTATGAAAGAATAGGAGGGCAGTGAGTTGTGACTCTTCTCTTGAACCCAGAGATGAAGTGGGCCGTCCCTGAGTCTGTTCCAAGTAAGAGAAGTTTATCTGAATCAGATAAATAGGCTCCTTTTGAAATGTGAGGTGCCTTTATGTTGGCGATGAAGCAGCCTCTTCTTTTCCCTCTTCAGACGAAACTTGCTCTCTGTCTGAGCACTCTATGCAGAAACCTTGGGAGAACAATTATTTGCTATCTTAAGATATCATGACACACATCCTGGATACAATAACCAGGAAGCTCATACAAAAAGATGAAGAAACAGGCATAAATGCCTCCTGCATCCTCCTTTTCAATCTCTCCAGCTCTGAGCTGGATGTCTTCAGAGTTTTCTTCATGGTTCTTGCACGTGCAGAGTTCTGAACTGATTTCCCCTGTCTCAGGAATAGTGAGCATGCTCTGTATGGAAGGAGGCCCCAGGTTCAATTTTGGGTATCTCAAGACTGAGAAATAATGATAAAGTGGGTTTCCTGCATAAGCCGGAGGTTGGAGTAGATGACCTCAGAGGTCCCTTTCAACTCTCTGATTCCTGTTTAAAACACTGGACAGCTACTGCCAGTCAGAGTGGACAATACTGAGCTGGATGGATGAATGGTCAAACTCTGTACACAGCAGTTTCCTCTGTTTCTTTGTCTTAAAAGCTGAGTGGTGAGAGCATCTGCTTTGCATGCAGAAAGTACCAGGTTCAATCCCTGGTATCTCCAAGTAGGGCTGGAAATAACTTCCATCTATAACCCTGGAGAGCCTCTGCCAATTAGAATAGGAATTGCTGAGTTAGTTGGACTGATGATCTGATTTAATTTAAAGCAACTTCTGGTGTTCCTCATAGTAACTCTCCCTGTCATGGGCAGGCCATTTAGCTGCCATCCCTGTTTATCTTCTAAAACAGCAGGGAGGGACCTCCAGCTTGAAGACCAAATTAGGTCTGGCAGGGGTCCTAATTTGACCCATGAGGCCATTTCCCCCAAACCATGTCCATTTGATATCATATGTGTTGCTATGTTTGATATAAGAATATAATAAGAGCCCTGGTGGATCAGGCCAAGGGTGCATCTACTCTAGCATCTGGCCAACTAGATGCCCCAGGAAGCTCGCTCATAATGATGCAGCTTCAAAGGAAGTGATGGCAGCTTACAGAGTGCTCCCAATTGTTTATTGGCAAGCATGGCTTGCTGACAGCACTAATCAGCTGATTGGCTCTGACAGCAAGCTCTTCTGAAGTTGTCTATTTGTAGATGTGGTTTCGATTCAAAGCACATCTGTAGTTGGGCATTTTCTCTCTTTGTAGACAGCTTTCGCAGTCTGCAGAAAGGAAAGTGTCCATTTGCAGGTGCAATTTGAATTTAAACCATGCCCTCAAATGGACAGAGCAGGGCTCACTGTCAGTGCCAATCAGTTGATCACCACCTACTGCAGACCTCATTGAAGTTATCACCTAACATCATAGTGACTTCAGGTGACCGGCAGGTGGGCAGCCCCACTCACATATCAAAGTGGCCCAGAGGGGGTGGGAGACGGGAGGATCTGACTTGCAGAGACTGAAAAGGTTGCCCGATCCCTGTTCTAGGACTGCATCTCACCACATGATCCTTCTCACACACTGACGTATGCACAGGAAGCCTTGCTTTGTTCCAAGAGAATTTGTGGGCTGGTGAGACAAGATGTTCTGTTGTATCACCCAGTTTATGGAAATCCTTCACCTGGAAGCCTTATCTAATTCCTTCTTGGCCTCTCTACATCTGGTGATCACCTTGTTCCGAAATGCTTTTGGTACATATTAGTTGTTAGCTTTTAGTAACATGCTGTCTAGTTTACTGTTTGTAAGGAATAGCATGGTCTTCGTAGAAGCAAGTCCCATTTGAATTCAACAGTTGGGTGTAGAATTGCACATTAAGCCATCTCAGTTTCATTGCTGCTCAATTTTCATAGTTCAATTGCTTTCAAAATCCCTCTAAATATTTTATTTCTTGATTCTTGAAGGGTATAATTCTTTGGCCTCTTTGTGGTCCTGGAGGGGGCAGGGATCCCAGAAGTCACAGGGCATAGCAGATTTCCTCTCCATGGGTGAAGAAGAAGACCTGCCCTCAGAGGGGGAGAGCCATCCCTCAAAGCCCCATCCCAGTCACAGTGCAAAGAATATTTGCTGGGACTTCCCTATCATTGGAACATTGTCTCCCAGATCTTATACAGAGCCCAGACCAAGCAGGGTTCCACATCATGCATAAGTTGCTTGCGATTTTTCAGATATACCTTCTGTCCACCATGGAAGCAAAATGGCCACACCAATATGGACCTCACTCTGATGCAGGAAATGCATTTTTTATGACAGAATTGCTAGATATAATAAATACATTGAATCCCACAAGGGTCCTTAATTCAAGGAACATGAATGACCTCACTGGGCATTTTAGCTACAATGCTGTTAAACATTTTTCAGTAGCAATCCTTCATTAGAGCTGGATCTGGTCCTTGCTGTTAGCAGAGACTGAATGTTGAAAATCAGTGATGGGCTGTGGGTGTTAGGACTAAAATAGTAGTTCTAGTCATCTCAGAAATGTGCAGCAACTAAGAAAGCCCAGCTCCCCCACTTTGCAATCTCACTTTCAAATACGTTGATCATGTATTGCTAAGAAGGCAGAGTGTTTGTAGTAGTTGCATGCCACTCTTAATTAAAACAAAATGTTACTTCCATAGCACCTTTTGAGAGAGGATATCCTGGTGAATCCCATTAGATGTGCTAATGAATTTGCACTCTCTGCAACTCTGTGGGATGTGGTAGCAGTTTTATTTACTAAGACAGGCATCAGGCATTGAGATGTGATGCTCAAGGCCAGGATCACTGGTGTGAAATCAAAGTAATGCCAGAAAGATGTGGTGTAGATTAAGGCAATGGGACCCAAAGTTTAAGATTTTCAAGTTCTAAGCTTTCTTCTGCAGGGGCAGTTGGGGCTTGGTAAGAACAAGGAGCAGGAATGGGAATCTGGACTGAAAAAGAGAAGAGAAATCAGGTTGCAGGAGCGAGGATGCTTCCTAGCAGAATATCACATGTATAAATGGGTGAATCAAACAATTTTGGTTTCTCGGTTTCTCTTTTTCCAAACTTAAATTCAGTTCTTCACACTTTCAGATTGATCTGCTGTTGCTTTTTATAGTAAAAAATGCACTGGCATTTAATGCAAAATTCTCCTAAAATATGCAGTTTTGTATGCAGTTTTGTCTGACATACATTTTTGCAAAAGAGTTTTCCTAATAGATTGCATTTCTGCAATATGCTACGTTACACATTTTAATGCACACTTCACCCTATTATATGCATTTGTATACACATTACTTCACCCAGAAACCACATTGCAAAATTTGGAGCAATGCGAATTTTAAAGGATGGTTGTGCTTCTGTTTGGTATATTTTTTCAGAAATAGCAGATCTGGTAGGTATATGTGAATTGAATCAAAGGGATACTCTATTTTTAACTGATTTTTTAAAGAATAAAAATGCAACAAAAATGGTAAGTAGCAGAAGGTGGCATGAAGCAATATAAAATATAGAGAGCCAGAGTTGGATTTGTAAACAGCAGTACATATTATTCACTGCTTATTTCAAAGCAGAGGCCAGTAAAGGCGTTCTGACCCAATTCCTAAAGCATAACATAGTTGACATCAGGCAAAAACCTCTGAGGAGGTTTTCTATCACTGGGGTACCACCACCGAAAAGCCCCTGTGTTTTGTTTTTAAATATAATTAATTGGTACAAGGTTGCCCACAGCTGTTTAAACAGCCTTTCCCAAACAGCCAATTTAGTTCCTAAAAAAAGTTATTTAACTAACCGCCTATAAGTGATTTGAATGAAGGGTGTTTTTTATTGTTATTATTTCAATGCCTTGCAGCTGAGACAATGGAAAGCACAACATGACTGGAAGCTTTAATCAAGGTCAGATTCTGGAATTTTCCTTCATTGTAACTGGGGATCTCTCTGGTGGATTTAACCTTTCAAATGTCTCTTGAGTTTAGCCCTTCAGTATGTTCTTTGCTTGGGCCTCTCTGTCTTAGATGTTCCCAATGCCAGGTAGCAGGTCTCAATGACATTATTATTTTAAAAAGTTAAAAAGGCTGTCAAACAAAGGCAGTGGTGGCAGTGGGGTGTTTGGGAGGGTGGTATTCAAATACGTTCATTTAAAAACAAAAGAAATCCAGCAAAAGTCAACATTATTGTTTAATAATTCAACCTTTAAAGGGCTAAATGGAAGATAAGTTATGACTAGTTATAAGATAGAGATCTGAGGGCTAGGCAGCTGTCAGACATAAAAAGGGCTCGAGATCAGGGCTCTGGGTGGATTTAAGGCTGAGTTGAAAGCTTTCGATGGAGTCCCCCCAGCCCCACCCCAAATTTGCAGGAAAATTTCAACTCCGTTTGGGAGCTTAGGTGAGTGGCTAACTAGGGATCAAAAGCAGGACATAGCTCTATGTTTCGCAGAAGTACTAGGTGCCTACCATCTCCACTAATGCTCCTTGAAACAATTTTAGGATGAGAGAATATAACAATTTTGGTTCTTCTCCATTTCTCATTTTATCAACCTTAAGTTCAGATCTCCATATTTTCCCTTCTTCTTCTTCTTCTTCTTCTTCTTCTTCTTCTTCTTCTTCTTCTTCTTTACATGCACATAAAACATACCAGCATTTTAGAGAAGGCTAGCTTGGTACACAATTGTATACAATTTTTCATGACACACACATATTTATGTGTGCTCGCACACAAGTGAGCGAGCGAAAAAAATGTCCAAGCTTATTTATTTATTTATTTAGCACACATTCGTTTTCTAGATAACTGCATTTCAACATTTGGAAAAGTAAGCTTTTCAAAGGATAGCTGTGTTTCAGTCTGCATCTTGTTTAGGGATGTGCCGATGAGATAAGTTCCCCTTTAAATGCAAACTGAATAGAATTTCAGTTTAAGGGACAGCACTTATACAATAACCCTGCTCCAGGAATTATACAGTTGTCCCCTTTGCCGTGGCACCACCCTCTGACGTCCATCTGGAGTGCTATGAGTGTTGGCTCTCCCCCCACCATGGTTTAGAACATGATTCAGAAAAATTTCCACACCTTCTGGATAACTCTCCATGGGCCACAGGACAAACCCAGAGACTCACTTTTATTTATGGTGATTATGATGCCCCTTTCTTCCAGACAGAATGTTTGCAGTGAAGGACCACCAAGGACCTCCCCACAGCCCCTCTGTGTGTCTCTCCTGCATGAATGCAGGATAAAGAAATGGTGGTGGAGAATGGCAGGGGGACAGTCCTGTAGCCAGACAAAACTTGCCATGTCTCCTCCCTGCAGTGGGGCCTGATAAGACAGACCAGCTGAAGAGAAACTCATTTGTTTGCATTGGGGCTTCAGAATTCTTTATAACTGAGGAGGATGGGAAAGGGAGGGGCAGAGATGGTTTGCCTGGAGTTCCAGTTGAGCCATAGCCCAGTAGGGGGGAGGTGAGAATGATAGAACCATAGAATTATAGAGTTGGAAGGGGTACCAAGGGACATTTAATCCAATCCCCTGCAATGCACGAATCCTGCCCACAGCCATCCCTGACTGGGCTTGAACCACCAATTTCTGGTTAACAGCCAGACACAGTGACCCATTGTGCCACCTTATGGAGCAGGCCTTTTTTTCCAGCCTGAACCTGACGGAACTCAGTTCTGGCACCTCTCAGGTGGGCTCCATTTCCATTATAAGAGAACAATGGTTCGTGGTAAGTTCTGGTACCACTTTTTTAAAATAGAAAAATAGCATTGCCAAGGACTCTCTAGGAACTTGAGGGGCCAGGAGGCTACAGGATGAGGTATAGGACCTGACACTTAACCCAACCAGTGCCCACCCCCAGACAAGGAACTGCGGGAGGGTATTCGCTGGAGGAGGAACATATGATACAACACTGTTATGAACAACTGTTTGTGGTTGTGGCAATTTGTGAGCAGGAAGACTGGCAACATGTACACCCTGGAGCTTTTGATATATCCCTGTCCATGGAAGTTCAACGACTTGTTTTGCAAGAATGAGATTCAGCAGGATTACAGGGAATGATGGGAGGTGGTGGGGGAGGCAAGGGATGGAGAAGAAAAGGAGGGGGGGGACCACTCGCAAATATTACAATGATCTTGTTGAAGGGTACAAGAAAATCTCCCAGGATAAGAGGAAATAAATGCTAGATTGCAATTGTCTAAAAGCCGAATTATTCTTTGTTTCACCAGGTTATCTCCCCCGCACCCTGTTCCTTTTGGTATTTATATAGCCTAACAAATAATTCTCCTGAAAAAAGGAGAAGGTGGGGGAGATGGCCCAAGTATTTTAATGAGAGCTCCACAGTTTCCATGGAGATCAAGAGTCTGACAGCCAAGTACTATAGCATGCTCTAAAAGGCAGAGTCTGTGTTTCAGTGGAAAGCACAGTTGAGAAGAATATGTGGTTTCTTGTCTTGCTTTTTTTTTATTTTCACACCCATCCAGACAGTGCCCATTTGAAACAAAGCTCAAGTCTAACCTTTCGCTTGTCCACCTCAGACTATTAATTGTCAAGACCATGATTATTATCTTTAGAGAGTATTCATCTCAGAGTCTTCTCACCTGCCAGGGACTCAGAGTATCCATTGTATTTGGATTCAACCAGTACTGTCTCCAACAGCATTCCTTTCCACATGGACTGCTTCTGATGGAAAGGTGAGAGAGAGGTTCACCTGGGGCCAGTGATTGCCATTTGGCTACTTTCCTCCCAGAGCTTCTGCCATCAGCAGCCATTCTCACCTAACATCTGAAGGTGTGATGAGACAGTGAGGCCCCCTTCATTGGCTCAGTGGGGGCCAACTGCCATTTGGCTGCCTCCTCTTCCAGAACCACCTCCACTAAATATATACAGTGGTACCATGGGTTACATACACTTCAGGTTACATACGCTTCAGGCTACAGACTCTGCTAACCCAGAAATAGTGCTTCAGGTTAAGAACTTTGCTTCAGGATGAGAACAGAAATCGTGCTCCGGCGGTGCAGCAGCAGCAGGAGGCCCCATTAGCTAAAGTGGTGCTTCAGGTTAAGAACAGTTTCAGGTTAAGAACGGACCTCCGGAACAAATTAAGTACTTAACCCGAGGTACCACTGTATAAGAGATTTGCTGACTTTACAGTCATCTTTAAGGAACGCCATAGTTCAGTGAGAGAACATTCTCTGCCTGTACAAAGTTCTGAACTCTTCCCATGGCATTTCCAGTTCTAATTACCTTGCAGGACTGGGGAAAACTAGGGAGATACTGCTTGTCAAAACAAATAGTAGCAGACATGAGTTATAAGATATTCCAATCTAGTATGGATATGTTCCCAACGCAAAGCTATGATTTGGAAAATAACCACAATTTTAGACAAGGGCTAGATGACATGAGTTCCCAGAATATGCAGAATGAATAAGGAAGTGCTGTGGTCAAGGTGACCTCTAGGACTCTAGCCATTTAAGGAGTTTATTTATAAACTAAGGACAGCACATTTTTGTCTTGTGGACAAACTTATTTTATTTGAAAAGCATGAGCTGACCACAGCCTGATATATTAGGCTGAACAGCTACAAGCAATGAATGGCCCTGCCATTGAGTAGCCAACCTGTCATAATGCCATTTCATGAAGGACTGCTCCAGACAACCTACTTATTGAGCATTCATCTTGAATTGCTTACACAAAGCTTATGGGGTGGTTAGATTGTCTTTACTGAGCATTCGTTCTGATTTGTTTGCCCCGGGGAGATTATACAATGAGCATTCCTCCTGAGTTGCGTGTGGGGTTTTTATGCACCTTCATGTTAATCATCCGTTTATTCCACACCTGTCAGTGCATAGGAGCCAGCTGCTAGGGGCCGAGGGGTCTTTGCCCCCCCCCATAAAATATTTGAGGGGAACACCACCATCCCCACATTGATGGGCATTGCCATTCAAATAGTGTGCATGCGCAGCATCATGTAGGGTGGGGCTTACCTGACCCCCATATTTTCTTCAAGTTGGCACCCCTGTTTCAATGCATTTCCCAATACTTTCCTAACCATAGAAGTACTGTTTCTTTTTTAAAGTGGATTTGCTGCACCAGAGCAACCCAGCTCCTAAATCCATGTTAATGGTGCAAACCGAAATTTCCTGCTAGATGCTTGATTCCCTGTCACAAAATGCTGACAGGCTGGAGGTGCTCTAATTGTGCTTGCTTTCACCCCAAAAAGAGGACACCAGATTACATTAAAATTGCATATGTTAAAGTATACATTCCAAGATGTATACTATAATGTAAACATAAATGCAATTCTCACTATGTGAGGCAGGCTGTGATCAGGAGATCTGTGCCTGGTCCTCTTCAGTGTGCAGCTCAAGTGCTGTTGATGGGCAACCTCAAATAGACACACTCCCCTTCACTCTCTTTTCCTTAAGGTTATTTATCATTGATTGATTGATTGATTGATTGATTGATTGATTGCATTTATATCCCCCCTTTCCTCTAAAGAATTCAAGGTGGGACACATTGTTCTCCTCCCACCCCATTCTATCTTCACAGCAACACCATGAGGTAGGGTACTCTGAAAGGTAGTGAATCTAGCTCAAGCTCAAGTTCAAGTGAGCTTCATGGCGGAATGTTGACTTTAACTCTGGTCTCCCAGGTCCCAGCCTGACTCTCTAATTACTACTGCATACTGGTGATCTATTTAGGAAGCCCTTCCATCAGAGAATACCAAGGAGAGTCCTCTGTTTGTAGGCAAGTGAGGATGCATGTTTGCCTTACTCCTTTTCCACCTTTGGTTAAATATTGGGAAGGCTCATACAACACCTTCCATGATTCAGGGAGGCTTTGAAGTTTAGGTGTTCCCCTTGTCCTATAGCATCTTTTGGTAGTTGCCAGGTATCATTTAAGACCTTAATTTTTCCACATTACCATATTAGTTTTGATAACCACACAGAGACAGATGGCTGCGCGTCGGCTTTCCAATGCGAAGGAATAATTTCCCCAGCTCGAGCTGGTGTAATGAGAGAGCCGCATTAAGCTGAAGATGAGGCGAAATCGAAGCATCTGTCAGTCCTCGCCTGCCAGCTCTGAGATGCTGCCGACAGACTGATATTTCACAAATAAAAGTTGAGACTATTATAGATTTGTGAAACAAAAAAAATTATGGTGTTGGATAACAATGCTATGGCAGATGTCACAAAGTCCATGCTTGAAGGTTTGGGGGCATTTCCCCTCTCATTCTCTCTCCCTCCCCTTCATTTTTTATTGCTGGTCTCTGTACCTCCTTGGAATCAGTCCTTGCTCTGCACAGCTTGTGTGGAGTGTGCTCATTATACAGGGGGGGGGGGTTTGCTTAAAAAAAAATCTGAGGAAACAATGAGGCTAGGATGAAATTGTTGCTCATCTGGTGATAGTCCTGTTGTTCTGCTTCTGAAGTTATCTTTGATCCAGAGTTTGCCTTTTATTTGGTTCCTTTAAAACAGGGGTAAGGAATGTTTTCCAGCCCAAGGGCCACATTGCCTTCAGGGCAAGCTTCTGGGGCCACATGATAGTGGTGGGAGGAGACACTTGCCTCTGTGCAGGCAAGTAAGAAGCATGGTCAGAGTTAGAATGGAATCAAAGAATCATGGAGTTGTAGATTTGGAAGGGAGCATGAGGGTCACCTAGTCCACCCCCCTGCGTTGCAGAAGTCTTGGGGCTCAAACCCATGATGATGTGGGGCTCAAACCCATGACGCTGAGATTCAGAGTCTCGTCCTCTACTGACGGAGCTGTCACAACTTCAGTTCAAGGGCACCTTCCAGGCAGGCAAAACACTTGAGAAGGATGCAAAGCAGGCCAGATGGGGAAAAATGGCTCCAGAGGTTTGGGTCCTGGGGAGGCTCCCGGATCCTGAAATTTCCCATCCCTTCTTAAGAAAGCCACTTGATATGGAAGCCCCAGGGATGTGACCAGCATGATTTCCCACATAGTTTCAACTCTGGAAGCATATCCAACTGTTGTCGGGGTTGATGTGGATCTTGAGATTATGTACCTCAGCACATTTCAGCTTCTCAACGTTTATTTCTGACTGCAGTCAAACAGGCCTGAGAACATTATTAGGGTCAAGGCTAGGCTTCTACTGCTTCCTGCCTGGGTCCAGCTATCAACCACAAGCAACAGAAAGGAGGGTGAAGCTAAATTAAAGCCTCTTCTTTGCTCCTAAGAGCCAAGTGGCCATATCACTAAGCTGTATAGTTAGGAAGCATAGGAAGATACTGCAGACTGACACCTTATACCAAGTCAGGTGGAGAGTCCTCAGCCCCATAGAGTTGGCATGCCTGACTGGCTACCAATGAAAGTGCAGCTTTTGACCTTAAGGTGTCAGGTAGTAACATTCCTCTTCTCCCGGGTTTTTGGCTAATTAAACAATCTATGGCATTTTAAACTGGGATGGTATGTATATTGTATTCATTCGTTCCTGTGATCCTTGGGTGAAGGGCAATATAGAAATTTTATAAATATAATAAATGACTTGGGAGCACAGTAAGCAAGAGGGAATTTCCTCTGACATGAACCTGCCTAAGCAGGTCAGTTCCAACATAAGGATGCCTCTGTAAAGTGGACCTCCTACCTAATGCTCTGGAATCAGGC